CAGAGGAGGATGTCTTCTGTCCAGTAAACTTCAACATGTTTCATCAAGTTTCATCCTTGTTCTTATTTGATGGAAAACTCAAACGGAATCTCTCCCAACCAAGGCGCAGCAGGAATGCAATAAATGAGATCTGCAGGGAAACACATGGGTAAGAAAAGTCAGTCTTGTGGTCTCCCACAAACAGCACAGCCCCAGAAAGGAAAAGCGAGGCTAAAGGAACAGTGGGATAGCAGCATCAGGCTGATGCGGACACCAGGGTATAGCTTTGGTTCCCAGAGTTCAGGCTGAGGTGCTTTGGTTCTCCTACTTCTTGATTAAAGAGCTGAATTTTTGGAAGGGGATTGGACTAGGGATTGGACCCAGAGGCACTTAACCACTGAACTACACCCCCAGTTCTTCTTATTTCTGTTTTGAGACAGGGCCTCACTAAGTTACCCAGGCTGGCCTCAAACTTCCGATCCTCCTGCCTTAGCCTTCTGAGTCTCTTGGATTACAGGTGTGCACTATAGAAAAATTAATTCATGTTACTATATTGCTTTCTCTGTGTAATCTAAGACCAAAAGCACGAAGGTAATATAAGTATGGCCTGTACAGGCAAAGAAAAGGGAAAGGAGGAGAGGGAAGGAGAAGGTGGGGGGGGGTTGAGAGAAAAGCATTTGGAAGCTAAATACGAAAGAAAATTAAATATTCTGTGTATGCTGCTGAAAGTTAATAGGGAGGAGAAAATTAATGAATAATTTTCAATTTTAAGGAAACCCTGTGCTGACTACTAATAACGTGCCAACAGAGAGACAAATTCATACCAATGCCTGTCCGAAAAAGGAAATGAATCTGACACTCTGACTCACCATTTTAGTGATTGTCAGACTTCTATGATCACCAGCTGAAAATATAAATTTTATAGTAAGCATGTCATTACTCTGCAGGTCATTGTGATGTCTCCCAAAGCAGTTTCAATCATGGCTTAATTTTAAATATCAATGCAACGCTGTTTTTATAATTACTTGTAGGCAAAAATCTTGAAGATATAACCCTGTAGGTATAAGATAATACCAAACATTTTTTGGTAACTTTTAAATCTTTAAAATAATATTTAACATCAAGATTAAATTATATCAAATATAATTTATTTCACTATCACATTTTTAGCATGATTAGTAATAATAAAAATCAGTGTCATAGAACTAGGGTTGTGGCTCAGGCGTAGAGCACTTGCCTAGCACACACAAGGCCCTAGGTTCGATCCTCTGCACCACATAAAAATAAATAAATAAAATAAGATATTGTGTCCAGATACAACTAAAACTAAATCTTTTTAAAGAACTAATGTAATAACAATGAAAATCAAGGTGAATTTAAGTGTATAAGAGGTGGCATAGGTAAAATAGTAAACATCTGGATCTTTAGTAAACAAATATAATCTTAACTACCTTATCAAACTATCTTTTTGGATTCTCTTGAAATATTTACTTTGGCTAGATTCAGCAAGGCAAGTAAGATATGAATTCTAAAAATGGACTAAACTGTGGTTTGTGGGACAAGACTTCTAAGAGGTGAGTTATGATCTTTTTGCTGTGTTTTGGGTATCATTGTGGCTGATGGATAAAGAAGGTACACAGAGAGAGAGAGTATGTAAGGAAAATAAAAAGGGAGACACAGAGACGAGGTGCAGAGGCAAGAAAAGAAGTGGCAGATTTGCGGAATGGCCACACTGCCAGCTTTATTTATATCTACAGGTTACTTTAGGTCATTGGCATCATTAGTACATATTGTTTATTGTGTTTGTATCATTAGGCAGGTTACAGACTTAGCAACATTATGCAGCTTATTCCTCAGTTACATACTACAGTTACAATATGCAATGGTAGGAGCTTTGTGCAGCTCTCAAGAAAGTCCATTGTCTGAAGTTACTATCAGGAGAGCAGATCTGGGAGCTTGGTGAAACACTGCAAGCAAGTTCCTTACTCCCAGGAGCCATGTGCCTGCAATCAAGGTCGAGGCTGATGAGGCTCGAACACAGAGGCTTCTCAAGGCAGGGCATTGCCATACCAGCTAGACATTGCACATACAGTGATTTCACTAAATGCTAGGGGAGATTGCAGGGCATTCTAAGGGTAAGAAACAGAGCGCCTGTTACCCCCCGGGAGTTTGCGCACCAGGGGAACAGTTCCCTGTACATTTCCATGGTCAGAATCCCTAAAAGAGATGGTGGAATGTGATGGTTATTATTATCCAAAGTACATGTTTGAAGACACAAGTTGGTGTGACTGTACTTTGTATACAACCAGAGATATGAAAATTGTGTTCTATATGTGTAATAAGAGTTGTAATGCATTCTGCTGCCATATGTAAATAAAAATAAATTAGAAAAAAAAGAATCCCTAAAAGAAAGAGAAGTTTCTCCCCCAATTTTCCCACACTCTCCCCATTGTGGATGCCAAAGGCTGTCATTGGAAGAGGTTGGAGGAGAGAAAAAGGAAGCTCAACTCAGCTCTGGCAGGTTCTTGATTAACACCACCGAAGGGAATTTCAGGATGCATCAAAAGAGGCATAAGCAGAGGTTTATTCAGGAAAACAAATAGAGCAGGATAGCACTCAAAAGGAGCCTAATGTGGGTCCTGGAGAGTGAGAGGCCCAGCGGTGGTGGGGGAGGGGTGTCTCAGGCTTCTTCTTTTAAAGGAGACCTTGCAAGTGAACATGAGAAGCGTAATGGATGGGATCAGCCTAACAAGCTGGATCCTTTGAGTGTGGAGCACAGGTTAACGTTAGCTAGGCAATCGACAGTGCTTGGCCAGTACCGTATCATGGGTCTCCAGCAGTCTCACCCTCTAGGTTTCTGTCTAAAGCTACATCCTATAAGCTCACAAGGGCAATAGGCATAAGGGACAGGGCAGACTGTTCTCCAAGGTTTATTGGACCTCGTATGAATTCTGGCCTGGAGGCAAACAGGCCTGGTGGTGAAGGGGAGGGCATTCATGGAGACCAGACATAAACCTACAGTCCCTTCCCTGTTCGTCTCCACTCTAACTGTCCTTGTTTCTTCCATCCCATCTCATGGCTGTTATGAACACTCTCCTTCACTGCTGGGTTACAGGGTTCACATAAGAAGGAAATGAGGGGACAGGAATCACCCCACCCCCAAGGAAACACAGAGGATGGCTTAGGGTGAGACCAAGGACGTGTGACCACCCTGACCTGGCCTGCACTTCTCTGCCCGAGTGATACTGGTGAGAGGCCGTCCTCTCTAAGCCTTGGTATCTCCATCTGTAAAGTGAGATTCTAAATCTTGCTGTGGTATCCAGGCATGGTGCTGTGCATCCATAGTCCCAGCTACTCAGGAGGCTGTGGCAGGAGGCTCACTTGAGCCCAGGAGTTTGAGACCACTGAGCAATGTGGTGAGATTCCATCTCAAAAGGGGAAAAAATGGATTGTGGTGAAGAACTGAACACAATAATATTTGGTGATTTTTTTATTCTAAATCCATGCCCAAGCCACCTCACCATCAGTCTCAGAGGCTGGGAAGAAGAGTGATGGGGGTTAGCTGTAGTCTCACAGCGTCATAAGTCAAAATACCTGGAACCTTCCATTCATACTCCAACTGCCCCTCTCAGCAGCAGTAGGAACACACTGCCCTCCTCAGACCTAGAGTAGGAGGAGGCTGCACATATTTGAAGGATTAAAATTATCATCTTGAAGACCTAGAGCTATAGAAGGTAAATGCAAAGACAGACCCTTTGCTTTTAAAATTGAATGACAAATTCTATTGAAATACAAGGTCATTCACTATGTGGGCAAATAGCTTCTGCTAAAAATTAGGTTCGGGAATGTATATTTCTGTCAGACAATTCCAGAATGACTTTTGAAGGTTATTCCGTAAAAATGCCAGCAAATGTTAGAAATAGATTGACTCTGTCCATGGGTTATGGAGCTAACTCGGCCATCTTTTCCTTCCATAGACTTTCAAGAGAAGTTCTGAGTGACAGTCCGAAAGAAACACTGACAAACTGTCCTGTTTCTCATCATAGCTCTCATTTTGTGGTCGATTTTGGTGATCCTTTGGGGGGTCTACTTGGTAGTCCCTTGAAATATAAAATGTATCACAAGTGTCTGAAGTACCCTACTGGACTACTGGTTGACCTCTGGACTCACGGGCTGTGAACAGTCTGACTTTTTATCTGTTCTATAAATACCACCATCTTAGGGTCAAGAAGGCTTGTTAAGAAATAATTAGTATAACCGTTTTAAAAATATCAAGTGATATTGTTTTTGCCTTCTTGTCAATTTTGGAATTACTTTTTCCCTCTTCTTGACCCTTACAATCTCTGAAGATTTGTGTGGCAAATTTTATTACTGTTCCCAATTGCCTGGGTTTTCCAAGTAGGAGGATAATACATCCCTAACAGGGTGGGGATGGGCTGTCAAGTGATGGGCTGTGGCCAACAGGAGGTGAAGGGCCACGTTGAGCCTCCCCGGCCACCTAGCAGAAGCCAGGTCCTGCCTACGTTAGACAGTGAGCTCGCAAACCGCGGGTCAGGCCGCTTCATCTCACCTCCCTCCCTGCAGCGTGCGTCACCAGGACGTGGAATAAGGCCAGCAGTCCCAGAGTGGTCATCATTTCCTTCACTCATTTTATAAATTTTTCACATTTCCGGTTCATCTTGTTTTTTTAAACCATGGCCACTTTTGATAAATTTCCAACAATTCGTAGGGAAAAAACTCCTAAAGCAAAAAACAAATCCCCAAAAACTATAATTTTTAAATTAAAAGCTCTAAAACCATTAAAGAGGG